GGGGCGGCTCTGGGGGCCTGGCCAGCGGCTGCGTGCAGCGGGGGGCTGCATGCCAACAGGAAGGGTGGGCAGGAGCGGGCGGACGCTGGGCAAGACACATCTACCTTGTTCCACCAGCCCCATGGTGGTGCCGGAGGCCGCGGTGGACATTGTGGCCGGAGCGGTGGTCTGTCTGCCCACTGTTAGCGCCGGGTTAGAGACGAGGGGTGGGGGGCGGACACACACGGAGTTGGGGGCGAGGTGGGGAAAGAGAAGAGACAAAGGAAGCAGAAGAAGATTAGAGTTAAAGTGTAGGTGGCTCCAGAATCCCTTTCTCAGGAGAGGGAAACAAGACTGGGCCGACTGACACGGAAGAGCGTTCGCCTCCTTTCTCCTCAGAACCCCCCGGGGGGAGTTCTGGTGCCTGGTGAGCGGGCGTGGGGCGCACAGCAGACAGACAGTCCCGTTAGCATTGGTGTGACCGTGCGTGCCCACTCCAGGCAGGATGGCATCACAGCAAGGAACAGGAAGGGGGTGCCAGGTGCAGACGGACAACGAGAGATGGCCACAGACGCTCGCACACGCGCTGCCGACGACGGATGGAGACGCCACGGGCACAGCCATCAGGGCACTGGGGCCTGCCATGCCCTGGGCCTCGGGGTCTCTAGCAGACCCCGAGGCTTCACTCCCCACTGCCCATCCCGAGCAGCCAGCACTCAGGAGAGCCGTCCCCGGTGCAGTGCGCAGACCCCATGCGCGCTCATCCCGCTCCGCACCAGTGGTCAGGCCACTGACACAAGGAGGCCACAGGCTGCTGGACAGATGCCTGGACAGACACGTGTGCAGGCAGAGCGGTAGGCGGCACAGACACAGAGGTGTCGGGCGAAGGACACGGACCCAACACAGAGGAGACAGGGCAGGAGATGGAGGGGCCCAGTGGCCGCCCCAGGAGAAAGCCCAGGAGGCCGGCTGGGAGCTGACAGCAGAGGCCCAGCTGGACTTCCTGCCATAGCTTTCGGGCGAGGTGGCATCGGTCCTCCCTGGAGAAGAGCTTCTCACCTGAGAAATTCCGTGTGGCCAGCATGGTGGTAAGGATGGCACCCTGCGAGAGACACAGACAAAGCAGCCTTGTTAGTGTCCCCTGGTGGCTAGAAGTAGGCCCCTCTCTGTCCTCCCAGAGCTCAGCCTTCCACACAGGAAGCCTGGAGCTCAGCAGTTGCCTCTGATCATGATGCCCAGAACCAGAACTCGCCCAGGACCCTGCCCCTGCCCACTGCCCATGACTCCCAGGCACTTCAAGACCCCCCAGACTCAGGAGCTGCCAGGACCACCTGTCACCAGGGCAGCTCTTCCTCAGCCCCTCCTCTCCCTGACAGGCCCAGGGCAGGCGGCTGCCATCCTCAGGTTGGGGGAGAACCAGTCTGGCCAGCCCTCCCCAGCGAAGGGTGTGTGGGGTTTTCTGCAGTGCTGGGCTGGGCAGCATTCACCTTGAGCTTCCTCCTGGCATTGAACTTCTTCAGACACTCCACAGTCTCCTGTCTGTGCATCATGGAGGCCACAGTGGAGCGTTGCTGCAGAGAAAGGGGCAGTCACAGGGTGGTGAGGAGCATAGGAGGCATCTGTTTTGTTCTGGGGTGGGGGCAGTGAGTCAGGGGAGGCCCAGGGCTTTGAGCGGATAGCATCCCTGGGCCCCACATGCTTAGAGCCGCCATGACTGCAGGCTTGATGTCTCCTGCTTTACCTGCTCCTGGTCCCTCACAGACAGGACTAGGAATAGGAGGAAGCGGCCTCCTTTGTTCTTTATATGGCCCCAGGCCTGGTCCTCAAAAACTAGCAACACATCCCAGGCCAAAGGCTACCAGGACCGCCTGGGCCACCCAGGATGCCTTCAGGTGTGAGGACTAGGGCTGGGCCGCCACCTCAGCAAGCAGCCTGCTCTGTGAGAGTGGGATTGACTTACACAGACCCACGGGTGCTTCAGGGCCTCATGGGCCGTGATGCGCTTGGCAGGGTTGATTGTCAGCATCTGGTTGATGAGGTTTTTGGCTTCAGGAGTGACAGTGTCCCACTCAGGGGATGGGAACTAGGCGGGAAAAAGCACAAAGGCTGAGGCTGACACCCCTCCACAGGGGCACCTCGAGTGTGGAAGGGCAGGATGCAGGTGAGGCTAGAGGTCCCCTGTCCCACCCCACACACTTACGTCATAGGCCCCGGCCTTGATCTGCTGGTAGAGCTTGTGTTGGTCCTCATCCCAGAAGGGAGGGTAGCCCACCAGCAAGATGTACAGAATGACCCCTGTGATAGGGATGGGGCCATGAGCGCACAGCTCACAGAGGAGGCCCCCACTCAGCGGTGTCCCCGCCAGGGTCCGACAGCCCTGGGCCCCCACACATCCAACCCTCATGCTGGTCCCAGACCACTGTCCAGGTGGATGCCACAGTGGACCCAGGTCATGCGAGCAGGTCTCCCTACTCCAACACAGGTATGGAGAACCCTCGGGTGCCCAAGAAACCGCCAAGCCCTAGGCACCCCCAGCCCCCTCATGGGCCTCACCACATGCCCAGATGTCCACAGGCTTGCCGTATGCCTCCTTGCGGAGGACCTCTGGGGACAGGTAGCCTGGCGTGCCTGCGAAGCCTGTCAAAGGAGAAGGGGCTGTGAAGGGCTGGGAGGGGCCTTCCGCATGCCCTGCCCTCCCCACGGGCACTCACCAAACCATGCCTGCTGGTCCCCCTGCACCTCGATGGCCAGCCCGAAGTCCGCCAGCTTCACCGCGGCCCCTTTGCACTTGCTGGCCAGGAGCAGGTTCTCAGGCTACAGAGAGGTGGCCGTGAGCACCGTGTGAAGCCCAGAGGAGTTACAGAAGAGGAGGGGAGGAAACAGAGGGGACAGGTTTGCAGGAGAGGGGTGCACAGGCCTCGCCTTACCGCTCAAGGTGTCCCAGGTACAGGTGAGTCCAGGCCTTACCCTGCAGCCCAGCTCTCCCTGGAGACATCCTGGGGACAGTGAGGGGCCCCAGCCTTTCAGAGGGATGGTGGCTTTCAGCCCAAGCTTGGGTCCCCTGCACCTCAGATAGGGAATCTGGGGTCTCACAGACCAGAACCTCCAGCTCACCTATGAGTGTGAGTGTGACAGTCCCCACAGCCTGGGGCAGGGCAAGCCTCCCCTTTCCCAGGTTTCAGGGGAGGGTTCTGCTGAGAGGCTGGGCAGTTCCAGCCTAGAAAGTGCCCCTTGAGAGAAAGGAGGAATTCCTGGGGCTGCAGTGCCCGGGGCAGCCCAGAACATCCATGCCAAGCCCAGTGGCTCCAGTCAGCCCTGCACACAGGCAGGCAGGAGGCCTTGCTTTCCCCACCTGTCCACTCAAGTGCTTGGGGAATGATGGCTCAACCCCAGTTCAGGCAGAAGGACACTTGCTTCTAACCAAGGGGCTGCTGTCTCTGGACTGACCCTCCAGCCCACCTTCCAGACCCCGACCGCCAGAGGATCCCAGCCACAGGTCCCATCAGCAGCTGAGCCTCTCCCAATCCCACAGATGCAGGGCCTGTGTGGGTCACACTGCCACTAATAATGAGCCACCAAAGAGACAACACGTCTCCACCCAGCCTGCTGCCAGCGCTGGTCACCTGAGAACTTAACATGAGACCTGCGGTCCTCGCAATCGATGCACTGCACCAGCCCCCCATGAAGAGTTCTGGGCTCAGCTCTGAGTGCTTAAGCCCACTGCACAGCTCTGAGCATCCCAAGGGCTCCTTGGTAGGCAGAACAGCAGGGGTAAGGCCTGTCCCCACTTGTGGATTCCTTCTCCCTGGGGACTCACAGGGACACACTGTGCCTGTCCACCTTGATTCTACCCGTGTGAGCCAGGCAGGGGGTCTGGCACCCCACTCTGATCTCACACTGAGAATGTGATATCACGGGCTGCCCCAGGTCTGCTTCTGGCCCTGACGTGGGGCACTGAGTACACTGGGGCCCCAAGAAGCCCTGAGCAAGGTGGCCTGGGACCCAGAGTGATGCACAGGATGGCCTGGCTCAGGGCCACACAGCTAGGCCTCCATCCCAGGCTCCACTCTGCCTCCTGGACAGCTCCCTGCCAAACCCACCACCCCACTTCAGGGAAAGGAAGGACATTCTGCTCCTGAAGTAGAAGTTATAGGGACTGCAGCAAGGATTCCGTCCATTCCAGGAATGGGGGAGGCTTCTATGCCTCTGCCTCAAAGGTAACCAGATACACCACGGGTCCTAGGGAGAAAGTCCCACTTCCTGGATGCATGACCCCTCCTCTCAGGGACCTGGGACAGGGCCAGACAGGGACAGGGCTGGGAGAAGACAGCTGCCAAGACTAGCAGCCCTAGGGAAGGGAGAGTCAGATCAGCAGGACACTCAAGACAAGACTGGTCCTGCACCCTCAGGGCTGGGCCCGGGTCCACCAGCCTTCAAGCAGCTGCAGGCCGAGAGGCCCTGAGGGAGCTGGGGCTGGAGGAGAGATCAGAGGGAAGGAGAGGTAGGATGGAGAAGCTGCAGCCACCCTGCACCCTGGGGTGACAAACCTTTGCAACAGAGCCTGGAGCCCACAGCTCAGCTCTGGGCAGCAGAGACCCAGAGAGCAGGCTGGGAGAGAGGCGGGCGGAGCCAGCTCGCACACCCTGCCCCCAGCAGCACCAGCCCTGTCACCTGTGTCTCCACCTGCCAGAGCTTCATCTTGATAGGACCCAAAGAGTGAGCCCCTCGGGGGCTGTGTGTGGACAGGCAGGTCGCTGAAGCTGCCCTTCCAGCCCTGGAGGCACCAGGCAGGTGTGCAGACGCCCCACATGACACGTGCTGCCCCATGTCTGCTAACACATCTGTGTGCATGCACACATGCACACGAACACCCTCATACATGCATACACATGACCACTTGTGCATACACACATGCAGATATACACACCACCTCTGTGTGCCCACACACAGGCATATGCTGTGCCTCTACATACACAAACAGACTGAAAGAGCATGGGCTTCCATGTGCCCGTACCTCCATGTGCACACAGGTACACAAGACCCTTCATGTACCCACACACGTGCGCGCTCACACATGTACACACAAACCTGCACATACACTCATGCACGCATGCACACACAGTACACACTGTTCACACAGTACACACAGGCTGTGCACACACACTCAGTCTTCTGCGCAGGCACACAGCACGCACACACCTGCTCACCCCCCACATCCCTCACTGCACATGCCCAGCCTTTCACACAGCATGCAGTGTGGACAACAGGCCCCGCACAGAGCAGGGCAGGAACTCACCTTGAGGTCTCGGTGGACGACCCCCATTTGGTGACAATGGAGTACGGCCTCCAGGATCTGCTGGATGCAATGACTGCAGCAAACGGCAGGCAGGTTAGAGCAGTGGCCTGGGGTGGGCTGTGTGGCCTGGGGGCATGCGGAGGATGCGGGAAGTCCAGGCAGGAGATGCTAACCAGCAGGGACTTGAGGCTACAGCCATCTGGCGCTAGCCCTGCCTTCCCCTTTGGCCTGCAGACGAGGCTTTCCAGGGACACCCATTCCTGGTGTCCCTCTCCAGGTCCTCCTGGCCAGACTGACCCTAAACTGGAGATGCCAGGCTGACCTATACTCCGTAAGGCAGGCAGCAGCGAGGGCAGAGTGGGGGCAGGGAAGGGCAGAGTGGGCAAGGTAGAGGTGTTGGTGCCACTGAGCGTGGTGAGCCCAGGCTGAAGCCCCGCCTTGCCCTGGAGCAGCAATAACACACGTGTGCACGTGATTTCCCTTAAACCCACGTACACAGAAAGGCATGCTCACTTGAGGGTGTGTGCTGGGCAGCCGGGCCCTGCCAGCCCTGGGTTGCCAGCTCAGCTCCCAGGCACTGCTGCTCCCCAGCATAGGGAGGCCCTTGTTCAGGAAGAGTCTGCGGGAGGGCCCTTCCCAGCTGCTTCAGGCCACCTGCCCACACCTGTCCCTCAGCACAGCAGACCCAGGGCCACCAGGCCCTAAGTACACAGTGCCTGCAGCCCCCAGGCACAGGGTCCCACCCAACCCAACTTCAGGGTGTGGCTGCAGCCTTCTGTATCCTAATGGGGTGAGGGGCTGCTGAGGTTGGTGGGGTTCACAGCCCCGGGCAGCCCCTCCCCAGACCACCAAGGGCTGAAGCCACAATCCCTTGCCCACCCCACTGCCTTAGGTCTCCCCTCTGCCGCTCCTGCTGCCCCCAAGGGGGCATCACCAATCAGGAGCCTCTACTCCCACTGCAACCTTTCTCTGCCTGGTGCCATCCCTTATCTTTGCATCTGTCATTTGGAGTGGTACTCAGTCCCCTGTGGGCCTGAGCTGTGGCCCAGGCCCTGTCCCCTAGTGGCCAGCAGGCCCATCACGCATTCCCGTGTAACGGGACAGTCAGGCCCTGCAGTCGCTCCAGGCCTTAAGTGTCCTGGGTCTCAATGCCAGCCTTCCTCTTGGCTGTCTCATGGCAAGCCCAGCCCTGCAGGCCTCCCATGGGGAGGTGCCACCTCCACAGACCAGTAGAGGCCCCACCAGGCCTCACATTCCCCAAGTCCACCCATCGGTGGGAGTCGGAGCTGTCTCTGGTGAGCTTCGCTCAGCCTCAGGCTCCTGAGATGCCTTCTGGTGTCCTGGCTGTAGCCCAGGGCCAGGCGCTTCGCAGCCCCTGTACCCCCAGTGCCACTCTCCAGCACATGGAGTTCCACTCTTCCCTCCTGTCAGGGCAAACAGTGCCAGAGACCTCTCCGCCTGTCCATGGGCAGCAGCTGGTGTTGCAGGGGCACTGCCCTCTCCTGGCCCACTCATCACAGTCGCAACCCTCCGAGGTCAGTCACCAGTGCCTCGAATGAACATGCTGGCTAAGCAATTTGGGATTCCCCAGGAAGACACAAGGGCCCAGACTGCCGGATCACAGGGTGGATGCCAGCCTGCAGGAGGAGAGGACAGCTGCACAGAGCAGCCCTGGCCTCCTCCCTTGGCAGAACCGACCCCTGTCAAGGCTTCGATTTATGCCTTATGTCGGTTTAGAAAGTCACTTTTTGGTCAAAATCATCCCCAAGGGCAGGGGAGCAGGCCAATAGTAGAGTACATGCCCAGCATGTGCAGTTCAATCCCCAGCACTGGGGAGGGATGGACAGATGGATGGACAGACAGACAGACACGGAAACCATCCCAACAAGCAATGTGGGCCCCAACCTGTCTCTGGATGTTATTTTCAGTCTGGGAGTACCCCTCTGGGTACAGTTAGCATCTCCCTGGCTTCCCCCTATCTTTCATGAGTCACATTGCTCTCTGTTTGTTTTTTGTTGTTGTTTTGTTTTTTGAGGTGAGATCTCAGCTATGTCACTTAATTGAGCTTTGAACTTCTAAACTCAAGTAATCCTCCTGCCTCAGCCTTCCAAGTAGGTGGGACTACAGTCATATGCCAACATGCCTGGCTTCTAAGCTTTTTTAAAAAACAAATTCTAGCCAGGCATGGTAGTGCACGCCTATAATCCTAGCACTCGGGAGGCTGAGGCAGGAGGATCAACTGTGAGTTTGAGACCAGCCTGGGCTACCTAGTGAGTTCCAGATCAGTCTGAACTACATAGTAAGACCCTGTCTAAAAAAAAATCAAAAAACAAAACAAACAAAAAATCCACCAAATTCTACTAAATATTTTGTATGCTGTTGTCTCTGTTTTGCAAGAGACTTGCATACCCCTCAAACTTTCCCACAAACTCCAAAATAAAAATCCCACTTTCCTTTTAGAAACAAATTCATAAAGCTGTGGAAACAAATCTGAGGGATGCACTGGGCAGGCACCTGGGGGACTCTCGACACACCTGCTCAGGCCAGACCTGTGAGTATCTGGATTGTGCCACCCTGCTTTGGTGCTCAGTTCTCTACCTCCCTCTCTACCCTGAAGTGAGTCCAGTTCCCTGATTTCTATGCTTCACTGAGAGTTCCAGTGAGCCGTGGGAGAGACACCCCACAGCTCCCAGTGGTATACTCCATCAGTCATGACTGCCTGCAGGATGTGTCGTGTCCCGCTCATCATGGCTTATATCTAGATGTCCCCAAAGCCTCATTCAGTCATAGATGGATACAAAAGTGGCTGGATTAGGCTGTGTGAATGTGGATTAAGGGTGTGATGCTAGGTTTAAAATACAGATAATAGAAGCGCTAATGGGGGAGGCACACCAATCAATAGGCTTGTAGCCTATTGGCTAGAATACAAAGGGAGAAAGAAGGCAGGCTTGCTGCTGCCGCCACCACCACTGCCTCCTGCCTGCCCTGCCATGGACTGTTTCTCCTCTGCAATGTCCCTCTGCCATGCTGCCCTGTCTTGGAGTCAGCTGACTTGGACTGAAACCTCTGTAAACTGTGAGCTGAAATAAACCCTTCTCCTTTAACTTGCGAGCATTGGGTATCTTGTCCCAGCAGTGAGAAAGTAACTCAGATACCCCTCCTCTGTGCAGACCAAGACATGAGGGGCTACCTCATAGGCTGGGGCAGGGATCACATCTTCAGGCAACCTAAAAGGGACTGTCCTTGGAAATCGCTGTGGCCTCTCCCTCCCTATGCAACTTAAAACAGATGCCCGGGTCCTGGCACCCTCACAGGAGCCCAGAATCCCCAAAAGGAAATGGGTATGTGGTGGGAATGGAGCCCCATGTCTTCTGGGCCAGGTGATCCAGAAGGAGTCCCCTGGGGCAGGTGAGGCTGCCATTGTGCAGGCAGGGAGCAGGAACACACAACTCTCCCCTCTGCAACTCTGCTGTTTGCCAAAGCCTCCCAGGACTCAAAGACCCCAGAAGCCCCAGCCTCATCCAGGTGGCTTGGTGCCTGCAGCCAAGAAGGCTCAGCAGGGCTACCAGAGGGCGCCGTAAGTGCGCCAGGCCAGAGGTCCTCCCTGCAGGGAACAGAGTAGCCTAGACTCTGGAAGAGCAGTAGCACACAGGGCCCCCTCCACCCCTCAGGCTGCATGCCTGGGTACCAGCCCCTCTAAGAAGACCCCTGTAGCTTCTACCTGGCAGGCAGCAACTCTGTGAAGGCAAGTGAGGACAGAGGTGGCAGGTCAGGGTGGATACAGATGGGCAGGTTGGGTTGATGGGTGCTGTAGGGGACAGAGATCACCAGGCCTGGGTAGAATCCATGGGCATTAGGCCTACAAATTGCCCAGCAGGGTCCTGGGTTTGATCTGTGGTTGGAGTCTGCTGGGCTGATGGGGACCCTGGCCCCTCACCTGGATCTATGGGTCCCACAGAGAACTCGGCCCACCCTCAGGCCCTACCTAAACAGCAAGCATCAGGAGGTACCACTGGAGACCCTCGAGTGTACCTGCCCAGCAGGCACCCCCAGAGTGGGTGCTGGGGGTCTGTTCCACTTCCTGCTTCTCAAGCAGGCAGAATACAAAGAAAAAGTCATGTTGCTCCTCTCCTTCAGACAGGCCACTTTCAAGGACTGGGAGACACAGGGCCATTCCAGAAGCTAGTGCTTGGAGCCCCAGGGGGTCTGGGCCAGGAGCGGGGGGCGGGCCATAGCCCTGCTTGTCCCAGGGAGTCCCTCTCCCCGGCTGCCTGATGAGGGGGACCAGGACGCTCACACCTCCCACAGGGTCTCAGGGCCTGTGACAAAGGGCACGGCCACAGGAAGCTACTTTAGAAAATGACATTTTTTTTTTTTTTGGTACCAGTCGAACTTGGGTCCTTGTGCCTGCAAGGCAGGTGCCAGAACCACTGAGCTAAATCCCTGGCGACATTCATTTTTTAATTAGAAATGTAATACTAACAGACGTGGTGGTGCACAGCTGTGACCCCAGCACTCGGCCACTGAGGCAGGAAGACCATAAGTTTGAGCTCATCCTGGATAACTCTGAAACTTAGGGAGATTCTTGCCTCAAAATAAACAAATAAAAAAGGGAGTATAGTTCAGTACAAAGGCCATGGGTGCAATCCCCAGGACCAAACAAAGAGGGTCGGGAGTAGCTCAGTTATAAGGCACCCTTGAATTCAATCTCCAGTACTTGGGTGGGAAAAAACAAGAATTTTTTTTTTTTCTGGTACAGGGAATTGAACTCAGGACCTTGCGCTTGCCAGGCAGGCATGGAAAAATAAGAATTTTTAAAACAGAGAAGATACAAATTTTAAAAGTATCCCTCACTCCACTGCCTGGGGAAGACCACTGTAGCTTTTTTCTCTATTGTATGCAAGTCTCCGCAGCACAGTAGTGGACACAGCCCAGCAGGCCCCCAGCTGTCCCTGAGCACAGCCAGGGGCCAGAGTGACTGCCCCTCTCTGGCTGACAGTGTCCCGGCAGCAATGTCACCAACGGCCATCACTGGGACCACTGTCCCTCTTCACTGCCCTGCTGAGGCCACCCCAAAGGTCCATGAGGATCCTGGTGGGATGGAACACCCGTCCCTCGTCACACCCCATGCTGGAAGCCCAGGGGCCAGGGCTGAGCCCTGTGGACAGCACCCTGGGTGCAGAGGGGAGGTGGCCCGCCCTCTGCCGAGTCTTGGGTCCCCTCTGGTGCTCACTGCCCCAGGGTGTGGTGGGCAAAGCACAAGGGGCCCAGAAGGGCGGCCAGCAGCCCCCTTCCGCACTGGTCCATGCAACAGGCTGCAAGACAGGTAGCCCTGAGAGGACACCAGGGAAGGGGACTCCTAGCCTGTCTTTTCAGGAATAGCATCTGGAAAGTGCTCATCTCTTGCGGGGGGGCACAGTGGCCAAACGGGTCTCATCGTGGGCCACAGCACATCTAAAGGAAGGGTCAGGGACACCCACACTCTCGCCCGGCAGCCACACCATGAAGGGCACCCCGCATAATGCAGCAGGCAGGGTCACCCCCCAGCCCGCACTGCCGTGCTGGTCAGAGACCCACAACCTGTCCCTGCCCCCTCTACCGGTTCAGTGAACTCTGGGTCCCGCTCAGCGCCCTCTGCAGGCCGCGGAAGTGACACTGATTCCCAGGGCCAGATGTGGGCTACAGGAGGGGCAGGGGCAGGGACAGGGTGGCCCACCTGGCATCGGCCTCACTGTAGTACTCTCTCGCCACAATGTCCTCAAACAGCTCCCCTCCGGTGACCCTGCAGGGAAAGTGCACAGGGGAATGGACTCCGAAGACCCTGATCATGCAGTCACCACCCCACCACCTCCACTGTCATCCATTGCCATCACTGCGCCACTGCCACCACAGCCCTGCCTCCATCAGCACCATCATCACCACCACTGCCACCTCCACATGACCACACATCACCATGACCACCACCTCCACCATCACCATCACCCATCACCTCCACTGTCACCACTGCTGCCACCTCCCTACCATCTCTGTCCCCATGGTCACTATCATCACCATCACTGTCACCTCCAGTGTTACCGCTGTCACCACCATCACCATCACCAACATCACCACCCCCACCCTAGTAAGGTGTCCCCGAGATAGACGGCTGATCAGGGGTGCACTACTCACACAGGGTGACTTTTACCCTTCCTGTCCTGACAACCATCCTCTGCTATTGGTGCTACTATACTGCGTTATGCACGAGGAAAGTGAGTGTCAGAGATCTAAGTGGTTTCCTTGGAGTGGGTGGTACAGGTCTTGTGCCAGCCTCTACGCTGGCATATCCAGGCCTTCTTACTCTAAGATGGGTCTGAAAAGACACGATCCCCCTCCTCAGACACCAGGGGCAGAGTTGTGCTCCCAGCAGGGGAGGGGACAGGTGCTTCCATGCCCGGATGGGGTCTTCCTGGTGGGCCAAGGTCTGAAGGAGCTCCAGGGCCTCCCTGTGAGGAGGGCAGAGGCCTTTGGTGTGTGCGCATGTGTGTGTGTCTGCCCTACAGCCTCCTGCCCTGTGTCCCCACAAGTCAGTGGCCATCAGGATGTGGCCAGGATGGGCGTTAGGGCAGAAGCTGCTATCTAGAGGCCCTTGGACCCAAAAGGTCCCCCAGGAACTTGGGAGGGAAGACTCTAAATCTGCTGCAAACACCACCTAGAGGCTCCCACCCTGTGGAGGGGGATCACCTTGGAAAGGGGGACTGAGGAGCTCTTCCCAGGCCCACCCTGCTCCAGCCCCTCAAAAAACTCATAGGGGTGGTACTTTTAAGGTCTCCTTTTGGGCCTGGGATTTAGCTCAGTGGTTCTGCTGCCTGCCTCGAAAGCGTAAGGACCTGAGTTTGATCCCCAGTACCAAATAAATTAATTTAAAAATTTTTTTAAAATAAAGTAGCATTAAAAAGGTCTCCTTTTGCCTCTGGAAGAGGCTTATGTAGCCAGGGCAGGGTTACCCAAGGGGTGGCCATCCTGGGGCAGAGGCCCTGGGCTCAGGGAACCTACACTGGGTCCAGCAAGCTGTGGGGCCTGTGCCTGTTCCTACCATGGAAGTAGCAATGTGAGGACAAAAGGTGTATGCAGGCATGCGTGTGTATGTGCGTGTGTGTGTGTGACATGTCCCCTGTGCCATGCATGGCTGTTTGTACACCAGCTCGGTGATCTGGCCCTCCTGACCCAGGGTCTGCACAGAGGGAAGTGGAAAGACCTCAGGGTACTGGGCTTCAGCCCATTTACACCCCTGGGGACCACACATGCTTAGGAATGGTGCGTGCAGTCTGTGAGGCCTGAGCTCTGCCACCACGGCCCAGGACTATGGCGGGGAGACCTGTGCCAATTCTAGGCTGCAGCCTCAACCACATGGGTCCCCCTTCCTCTGGGTCCCAGCCCTGTGAGGCCCCAAGCATAGGATCAGGGATACCTGGCAGAACCCAGAATCTTCAGACTCTTAAAGAGCCAAGAGCATCAGGGCCCCCGCAAAGCGACACTGCTCCCTGCAGGCCATGGTGGTCAGAGGAGGGTGTGCACGTCCCCGGACTCCCTGCAGCCTGTCCCTACACTACCCAGCCTCAGACCAGGGCCTCCCACAGGTACACATGTGTGCACACACCCTTCTCTCTCCCTGTCCAGCTCCTGACACACACCAGGGCCACCAAGGGCCCTGGACAGGACCACCCTCAGCCCCCGGGCCTCTCTGTTGCCTGGAAGAGGCTGAAGGAGGTGTGGGGATGCTCGGGGTGACACTGAGCCTGGCCTGACTCAGCCGTGGGGCAATTTTCCAGCATGGCCTCAGTCAGCAGCAGCACTGTGCCCAGGTCTCATCACATGGTGGGCAGTCCGAGGCAGGATCTTTCAGGACACCCAGAAGGTGGCTGAGCCTGCGGGGATGGCCCTGCCTCTGCTGCCAGAGGCCCTGTAGGCAGAGACCACCCGGGCCTGTGCCCCCATCCTGCAGACTAGCTGAGGGCAGCCTTTGTGACAGTGCCTCCTGTCACCGCTCAGCCTGTCGCCGGGTCACCACAGTAATGGCACCACACCTAGGCTTCCCTGGCCATGGCCACCGAGAGGCCACAGGGGCAGGCCAAGGCCACGGCCCCCAGCCCAGGGTCTGGCTGCAGCCCCAATTCACCTGCAGCTAAGTATAGTGCTGCTTAAGGGGAGCTGTCAGGAGCAAGGGGAATGAGATCACTGCTTCTAAATGCGGCAGGAAGTGAGAGGAGGGGCTGGCCCGGGCGCCTTCTCCTCAGTCCCTGCACACACGAGCACACACACATACATACACACATGTACACGGGCACATGAACACACAGGCATGCTCATGTAATAAACACATGCACATGCACACGGATGCACCCAGGCACACCTGAATACACATGGGCACACACGTGTATCCCTGCAAACCACGCCTGCACATGCGTGCAAACACACCTAACCCACACACGCTCATACAAGGCACACATGTGCCCCACACGTATGCCCAGGGCTCCCGTGTGCCATGTTCACAAATCCACACACCCACATGTGCACACACAGTGCCCCGTCCCATGTGCCAAGGTGCAGGAAGAAGGGTGAGTGCTGCCAGCCTGCGAGGAGGGCACGCTCAGGGTGCCAGTCCTGCCCAGGCCTGCAGGACTCAGGAGGCCCACAGGGAGGCCAGACAACCAGGACCCAGGCGCTCAGGGAGCGGCAGGATGTGGGGCTGGGGAGGCTTGGGCAGTGAGTGGGAGAGGGCGCAGGCCTGAGCACTTACAGATCGAAGACGAGGTAGTGGAAGCCCTCTTCGGAGATGCTGTCGTGCAGACGCACTGCGGGACAGAGAAGCCGTGAGCCCCGACAGATGCACCCACCCAGCCTCCTCTGGGAACCCAGGCAGCACTGCCCTGGCTGTCTCAGCCCACCTGCCTCCTTTCTCCTCCATCCCCAGGATGCAGGACACCAAGCCCAGGGCAGGAGCCCCAGATGGAGTCACAGGAGGGTGAGGGGTGCAAGGCGCCTGCAGCCCACCGTACCCCCAGCAGTGCTCACAGCCATCAGCACACCCCGAGGGGCAGACCCTGAGTCCTGACCCCAGGACCGATGCTCCTGTCCCCTCTGTGGCCCTAGCTTCTGGGTGGCCTGAAAAGACCTGTGTGCTTTATGCCTTGGTGCAGGGCAGAGGCCAATGAGGACAGGGTGTCAAGCTTGTGCGGGCTGAGATGCCTGCCTGCACAGAGCAGGGGACACTCTTGGGATGACGCATCTTAAGCCCTCCTCATGGGGAGGGGACGTTCTGCCCTGTGCTGGAACCTGGCAGCTCTGAGCGCTGAAGCACAGAGAAGTTGAGTAATCAGCTGAAAGTCACATAGCCCACAAATGGCAGAGTGAGGCTGTGATCAGGGTCAGTCTGGCCCCAGCCCCTCCACTCCTTGGGACAGAGGCTGAGGACTCACGAAGCCTTGCTGTCCTTGCCCCCCACCCCCATCAGGGTGCAGCACCCAAGGGCAAAGAGCTACCACCTTCCTCCTGGCCCCACAGGCCCCTGGGGCCTTGGGCACAAACAGCCCACACAGCACAGCCCCTTCCTGCAGCCCTCTGGCACTGTCCTACTTTCTAACTGGCTGCCAGGGCCCTCCCTCCCGGGGACTAGCTCAATGGTGTCCTTGGGCCAGGAATGTGGATGTGGCCTCAGCCTGCAGACCCTTGGTTCCAGACAAAGGCCTTCCTGCCTCATCTGGGGCTCAGGACCCCCACCCTGAGGGCAGAGCAGGGCCACCCTTCTCTGCCCCACTGTGGCTGGGACAGGACCTGGCCTCCCATCTGCTCCATTCTTCTGTGAAGTGGGCAGACAGCACCCCCTCTTGGCTTCGTGGATGCACTGCACCTGAGCGGAGCTCTGGGTCATGGACTGTCCGTCCCATCACTGTCTGGGTGTGAGGGGCCAGGGACAGAGGCTCAGCGCCAGGGGCCAGCACCACTTAGTGAGCTGGGCTGCTTTCCCAAGCCTAGGGAAGAAAGACACAAGTGGGGGCAGCACCAGCTGGGGCACACGTGCTGGCCCCTCTCCCAGGGCCAGCCCCACCCCAGAGGCCACCCTGTGACTCAGGCCCCAGGCTCTTCCTCAGCTGATTTCTGCCCCCCAGACCCCCATTTTCCCCAGGACCTCCACTCCACCGAGTCTGGCCTGGTCAGCCTCACACACAGCGGGTCCCTAGTGCCCACCGGCAGCTCTTCCAGGGCCTAGGGTGAGACCAAAGTCCTTGGGGCCACCTGCACTTGAGACAGGGGACACACTGCTCATGCCTGCCCTGCAGAGCCCAGAAGGCGCCTGCCCTGTTCCTGCCACCCGTGCTCCAGGGGTCCAAGGTTCATCCACATGGCTCCTGGGGCGCTGTGGGGACAGCCTGGCTGGAGGGGCTGCCTGGCCCTGCACCCTCTCCTGCTTCAGAGAGGGATGAAACCAGGGATGAGGGGCACAGGCCTGGGAGGTCCCTCCTCTTCACCAGGAAGCAGGGAGACTAGGGATCCATGCAGGGATCCAGGGAGGTGCGCACGCACATGCTTTCTTCAACATTTTTAACATTTTAAAAATAGTCAGGTGCTTATTTTAATGGCTTAGAAGAAAACCTAACTAGCACATGAGACCTGTGAATTCACAGACAGGGCTGAGCACAACAGTGAACTGTCACAAAATCTGTTTAAATAACAACAGTAAGCAAAGAATACTGTACACAGAGGTGGCATAAATAGGGTTCTCGTGGTGTCCTGACTAGTCTGGGTGCCCCCAGTCAGGTGATGCCCCAAACATGACCCAGGGCTGGGCTACTGCCCTCACCAGCCTGGGGGACAGGGCCCCCGGGACACCCACCCCCTTTCTGCTGTGCTCTAGAGCTCCCCACTCTCAGTGACCCTTTCCCTTAACGTTATGAGGACTAACTCACAAGGGCCCATGGCCAGGGGTCCTTCACCTGTGTCCTCAGCTGCCCCCTCCCTTAGGCACCCCTCTGCCTGGCTCCTCAGCAGGCCACTGAGGAGGGACATGAGTTTCATCCCTGAGAAACAGGTGAGGTTCGCTGACCTCCAGGGCCTGGGTGGATGTATCCAAGCTGTGTGCAAAGGGGACCCTAGGGGTGGCCTGGGTCTTGTGGCTCCTGCTGGGGTGCTCAGGACTCTGCCTGCCTGGCTCTGCTTACTCTGTGTCCTGAGGCCCCAGGACAGTTGTAGGTTTGGGACCTAATCTCCTGACGCCCCTGCTGCCCCACAGGAAGTGCTTTCCAAACAGAGAGGCAGGGGCCCATGGTGGGGTGTCCTCCTGGGACCTAGCCCAGCACGAGACAGAACTGTTAATTCTGGAACCTTCCCTGGGGACAGTGCTGACCAGGATCACACCCAGATGGGCCACCTGGGCTCAGGATAAGCACTCCATGGACGTCAAGGTCCCTGTCACCTTCACCCAGTGCAGGACCAGCCCCACCACACAGCCCCTGGGGACTATGGATCCCTGGGGACTCTAAGGCTAAGGACTCCATCACCAAACCCTCAAGAGGCTGTAGCCCTGATCTAGGATCCCTGGGCCACCTGAGGGTTTCTACTGATTCCAGGACCCAAAGGCAATCAGGGCTGTACCTCACACCTGCTGAGACCAGGGGACTCTTCCTCATCTGTCCTGCCGGATCCTCTCCCCCAGGGATTCTGCTGCTGCAGAATACCATGGAACCCTGGGGCCCAGGCCCCAAAGACAACAGTGCACTGGCTCTGAGAGGCCCAGCCAGGCCTGGTCCCCTGCCCCATACCAGGGCTGCCGAGGCCCTGGTACACCCAGCACCCTCCCACTGCCCAGCCTTCTCTGTCCCTGGGTGACAGAGAACCACCCTTGCCTTGATCTCCCCTAGGCCCGTGTGCGTAGCTGGGGCTCAGGCAACAGTGAATCCACTCATACTGGGCCCCTCTGTGCACAACAGGCCCACGACCTCTGTGCTGGTTGTTCTGGGCAGAAAACTCATCCACACCCCTTAGATTTCCTCCAAGGGCTGCTGCTGTGTGGGCTTCAAACTGGCCGGGCAGAAGTGACAGCTCCTGGACTGTCAACAGACAGGCACACAGTCACCCAGAGTTCCTTAGGACCTAGCCACCCTGCTCTTGGGTATAGATCCACAGGACCGAGCAGGAACTCACATACCTGGGCCCTGCTCACAATGGCTAAGAGACAAACGTCCACACAACATGGCACCTCCCCGTCGGGCGTTATTCAGCCTTAAAAGGGAAGAAATCCTGACACACATAGGACATAGGTGGAGCCCAAGGACACCATACTGAGGGAAATAAGCCACAAAAAAGACACACACACTGTACAATCCACTCCTACGTGGTCCCCAGAGTGGCCAGATTCACAGACAGAGGTAGAACTGGGGGTTCTGGGGCTGGAGAGGGGTGTGGGGAGGGGGAGGGGGAGTCTGGTCAATGGGAACAGACTATTTAATGAGTCTGTTGGAGGGTTTTAGTTCCAAAGACAAAAAAAGGACTGGATATAGATAGTGTAGAGGGGTACACAGCATCGTGAATGTATTTAATGACTAATATTATGCACACTTTGTCACAATTCTTTTTAAAGGCATTGTACTTCTTGTCTCTCCTTAGCTCTCTGCTTCACACTCCCCTCCCCCCGCCCCATCTTTGTCTCTCATGTCCCTCTGTCTGTCTCTGTCTCTGTCTGCTATACGCATGTGTTGAAGGCTCTGTCCCCAGCCAGGCTACTCTGGGGAGGATCCAGAGCCTCTAGGAACTGGGCTGGAGGGGACCATGGGACCCACTCCCGCTGCCTGGGAACTCCTAGGACCTTCCTGAACAAAGGGCTCTTGTGCACTTGCCCCTCGGTCCCACCCACCATGCCCCTGAACACACAGAAGCTGGGGTCTCCCATGCTGGCTAGCATAGGTTTGGGGGTCATTTTGCTGTATCCCACATGGCTGCGATACCATGAAACAACCTTAGGATGTGGGGGCTTTTACACCTCCTTCCATAAACAAATCTCTGCCTCAGCTTGGAGCTGGACCCCGATGTTCCATTCCACGCAGCTGCTGCCCCAGCCTCCTGCGGGCCCCACAGGGAGCCAGGTGCAGGCCACTGCCACAGGTGGAGACTGTGGCTCCTCCTGACCCAACCTGGCCCAACCTGAACCCCAGCCTGGCCAGCAAAGCTCTTGCTCTCCGTGCCTGGTGGCCTGCGGGGAGCTCTCTGCTTGGAGGTAGGGCTGGAAGCCCTGAAGTGAGGCTCCTGAGGCAGGGACTTTGCTGTCTCCCCTACAAGTTTCCTCCAACCTTTCAGAGAGCCCTTATCTACAGAGAAGGTTCCTTGTGAGCCCTCAGCCCAGGACCCAGCCTCTGGGTTCTGGAGTGTGCTGTTTCTGAGCCCAGCCCTGACTGGAACAAAGCCCTGGTGGGGACCTCCATGGCCACTGCTCCCAGGCCCAGACTCAGAGCTTGGGCCAGGCTCTGCTTGGAACCAACCCAGACCTGTGCCAGGCACCCAGACAGGGCAGGGAGATGTCTTATTCAAGAACTATCCACAGCACCCATCCAGGAACAGCCCGTACTCCACACACTCCAGGCTGACAGTCCTCTTTTCCTCGGCACCTGGGCTAGAAGCGATGTGTCCCAGGAGTGCCCTGGGTGTCCTTTTTAAACACAGCTTCCTAGGTGCCACCCTGCAAAAGTGAATGGAGCCTTGAAGGGCTGGTAAATCCCTGTACCCCTTGGCCTCCACAGGGAGGGCAGTCACCACCCAGGCTCTCCAGTGCTCCCCCAGCATGGGCAAGGCCTGACCTTGGGGGACAGGCAGTGGGACACAGGCACACATGTGCATGCCCTCTGCTGCAAACCTGGAAGGTGAGAGGTGGCAGGACATAACACCTGGAGATCCCAGGAGGCCTGATGGATCTGCAGTGGGGTCCCTGCAGCTCCAAGAACCCAGGACTCGGCCTGGCCACAGGAAGGAGATTGGCAGCTGTGCCACTGGACTGCTGGGGCCCAGGACCTCCAGGTGGGCCAGAGCATAGTGCAGCTCAGTTCCATCTGACTTGGCCACAGGCAGGGGGTTTCCAGGTCGCTCTCTTGACCCCTCTTCCTGGTGTGCCCAGCCAGTGGACAGGCCACCAGCCCCGGGTTCTGGGCTCAAAACATCCCATGAGCATCCTCAAAAATGCTCACTTGCCCTGATTGGGGGGCCGCTCACCGATGTTGGAGTGCTTCAGCAGGCGACAGATCCGGGCCTCTCTCTCCAGCTTCTGGTGATCTGGGGACACAGAAGGACAAGACATCATCTCAAGTCTCAGCAGCTGGGCCCATGACCACTGCGTCAGGACAGGCCCACAAGGGTGTGCAACCACTGCCAACTGAGAGGATGGTGGAGACCCCAGAGCTGATGGGCACACCCTCTGCTGCCCCTCCGCTGCCTGGGAACCAGGGCACACAACCAGCTGGCTTTGGTGCAGAGGGGAGAGGCAGGATATGGGCACTAACAGACTACCAGCTAGCACTACTGGGCAGGCACAAGCAGCAGACCCAGGCAGAGATGTCCAGGGGAGGCAGTGGGTGGACGAAGTCAGGGCTGAAAGTTCCCGCGTGACTCAGGACACAGTGCCCCAGTGTGATTTGCCCTAATTCCATGTCTTCAGGCCTTTTGGCTGCCAGCAAATTTGTCCTTCTAAGGCAGCAGTGGGGTCCGCATAACAGTGTGTCTGCAGTTTGGGGTGAGAATGTGACCCAGAGATCAGAGCTCCCCACCCCTCCTCCCCCAAGGCTCTGCTTGGCTCTGGGAGGTGGAGACAAAGAGACAGCCAGCCACTGCCCATCTGGGCCCAGTTCCCAGAGGCAGGTGCCTCTCGGGCTGTCCCTCCATGAGATGCCAAGAGGATGGGGCAACTTATCAGTCAAAAGTTTTATATCCCACACAGAGGTGCCAGGAGGATTTAAAATGTGTGCAACAGGAGGGTGGAGTGTGCAACAGCAAACCAAGCACCCACAGGTGTGTGAAGGGAGGACAGCACTGCGGCCACACTCATCACAGCGCGAGCACACTCTGGCCCCCAAGGTGATGCCCAAGTAAAAGGAGACCCAAGGGTGGGCTTTCGTTAAGACCAGGTGGAGACAGGTGCATCCCCGGGGCACAACCACTCCTGGCAACTGTAAGGAAAAGTACGGACCTTCAGCACTCAGGACAGCGGCTCCTGCTGAGACCCAGAGCCCCACACCTTCTCCACACCCAGAAAAGAGAGCTAATCACGCCCACCAGCTGAGCTGCCTTCCTAAAGGCAACTGCTGCAGCCCATCAGCAAGGGAAGGCCGGTACGGATTCAGGATGCTCAGAAGGCTTTCAGCCCAGCCTGCAGCCTCTAGCCCCTGGCAGTGCACAGGGAAAATCATCCACCTGGTCTGACGGCCAAGTCGTCTCTGCACTCAGCTGGCCTGGGTTGAGTGTGACGTGGTCTAGGGACACAGGCCACTTGGGCAGCCGTGCCGCAAACGGGCCTGTCTGGGACACATCCAGCAGGTGCTCCTTCCTGCCCCCAGGACAGGCCCTCACCATCCCTGCCCTGCACATCTGTTCCCATCTGCCTCCCTGCAGGTGCCTGGCGCCCAGCTGGAGCTATGCAGAGCCTCCAGTGGGTGGAGTAGGACCCTGTTTCCTCATCTGCACCAAGCCCCTGGAGACGGGGCAGTGCTCACGGTGGCCCCAAAGCAGCCGGGGTCCACACTGACACGAGGTGTGGAGAGGGAACCCTGAGCACAGCCACTTCCAGAGCTCAGGCTCAGAGAGAACTGCAGTCCAAGGTGCTGGGACTCATGTATGTGGGCCAGTACGAAGCTGGAGTGTGACAGGCTCACTCACTGTGGCAGACACAAACACACAGGCGCACACACACACACACACACACACACCCCATGCACTACACACCTGCTGCCCGGGAGGAACTGGTGCAGAGAAACCCAGGCAAAACGCATGCTATTTAATCCTCCTACCAGAGACACAGCCCACAGATAGACTACAGCATTCATTTATACCATCCAAGTGCTTATCAAAAAAAAAACCCAAAACAAAAAATACCCAAAACAATTTTACTCAAAGATCAGAGCCTGCAATTACCCATCCGCCTGCCTGGATTCTAATGATAGCACGGTGCCCCGAGATTCCACCCTCGGGGAAAGCCGAGGCCGGAAGCTTTTCTAGGTGATTCCACCCACATCGCAGGGCCCAGGAGCACAGTGCGCAGCTCTGGTCTGCTGGCTGACTGCTCAGCACCCTGTGGACCCAAAAGTCAACTACCTGTATGGAGCCCAGGGCCAGGAGCAAGACAGGCTCAGGTCACAGAGGGACAAGGAGGGGTGGTGGCCCCAGCTGAGCCTGGCCACCCACCCTGAGTGACTCATGCAGGGCTGTCCATGGCTCCCAAGCACCAGGCACGGCTTGCAGCTCACAAGGCCTCAGGGCCCAGGCCCTCTGGTTACTTGGAGCTCTGTGACAAGCACAACAAGGTCTCCACTGCAGGCTGGTGGGTGGCAGTGGCCTCCACACACAAAACAGCCCTGTGCACTCCTGCAAACACTGCCTCCATGGGAATGGCAGGGCCAGTGTTTTGGAGGAAAGGGAGACACAGGAGGGCAGGTGACATCCCAATGACAAGGCCACCCTCCTCCCACGCTGACTCTCTGGGTGGCCTACCTGCCACCCAGCAGCAGCAGGACCAAAGCAAACCACCTGTGGTTACACAGGAAGGTTACGCCTGCCTGGTCACATCAACTCTGCTCAAGCCACCTTTCCGGGACAGAGACACAGCTCCTCCCACTCCCACACCACCCCCCGCTGCTGCTGCTCCATGGGCTCTGGAGGACTTGGCATGAGGCACCCAGGAGTCAAGGAGGGGACTGGGAGCACTTCTGGATTGTTAAAGGTGACAGGCAGGGCTGCCCCAAGCCGCCCAAGGCCAAGATGCAGGCACACATCAGTGGCTACCCTGAAGCACCTGCCACATAATAGTGCCATCTGCTCTGCACACGCCCTGACAGGTGACAACCTGTTTAATTCTGAGCGTGCCCTGAGAGGCCAGGTGTGGCGGGCTGAAGCTTGGGGACAGCCCCCTTCAATATCCCAAGACAGTGGTGGTGGCCTCAAGGACTCCCACATCCGGTGTGAACAGCAACCAGAGGTCATGACCACAAGCCAGAGGATGAGCTAAGGGGACACTCGCAAATCTCTGCGAGTCTCTTCCTTTCTGCAGAGCCAAGAGGGCGTCTGGGTGGAGCTGGGAGCCTCCCCACCCACCGAAGCCATCCTCCCTGGTAGGGTGACTCACAGAAGGGAGGGGAGGGGGTGGCAGTGAGAGGAGCCAGCGAGAGGGGACAGGAGGAGTGTGGGTGGCACCCAGCCCTGCCAGCTGCAGGCTGTCACGGGAGGACACCGGGCGGGGCAGAGCAGGGCAGGAAGAGGGGGCAGAAAGAGGAGACAGAGCCCCACGCACAGGAGGGCACGCCTCCTGCCGTCTGCACACCCAGTCCTGGGCCCTGGAACTGAAGGGACCCGAGCCCAGGAGGAGCCCTGGGCCTGCCATTATGTGGCCTGGGACAAGAGACGCCCCTCCCCATCCACAGCGACGGCATGTAGCTGTGCTGAATGCAAAGTGCTGATGTGTGGAAGGTATGAGCAGTGCCTGGGGCGTGGTGGGCCCTGTCACCCCAAGAGGCCATGGTACCCCACAGTCCCTCTTAGCACCAGGAGCCTGCAGTTGCATCCGAATCCCTCTGGGGGCCTCAGTTTCCCCATTAAAAATGCAGGGTAGGGAACGGAGGTTTAGCTCAGTGGTTCTGCCACCTGCCTTGCAAGTGCAAGGACTGGAGTTTGAACCCTGGTACCAAAACAAAACAAACACACACACACACACACACAAATGCAGGGTAGGTGCCATGTCCCACATTGCTGCACCCACCCCAGGGGTCCCCCACCCCTGCTCCTCCAAGGAGCTGGGCCTATATCCATCCAGCACTGCAGCTGCAGTGAGGCCAGGCTCACTCCCTATTACCCAGCACAGGGCTGGGCTGTTGGCCCAGGTGATCGCACTGTCACATGAGGGGAGGGGTGGGTTCTGCCCTCCTTCCCACCTGCCTCAGCCACCTGCACCATTCAGGGGCCTGTGAGATTTCTAGAACCTCAGATGGCTCAGGGCGTCCTCATCACAGCCACTAGGCCCCCTGAAGCACTGAATCCACTGAAAAGACAAACCTCTGCACTGTTTTCAGCTCCTGAAGTCACCCCCCAGGCAAGGCCACTGTCACGCTGCCCAACTCCAGACAGCCAGCACAGCTGCAAGGTGGCCAGGTGGAGGTGGACTGGGCCCTGTTGGGGTTGGAGCCAGGGGCCATCTCCCCACGTTCCTCCCACAGGGCTTCCCCAAGGGTGTTGGGAGTCAGGGAGCAGAGGTGAAGGTGACGAGCAGGTGGGAGATGGGGACAGACACTCCACCGCTCCAGCATGGGGTCCCTGAGAATATGGGTCAGCCTATGCCACCTCCTGAGGGGGGAGCACTTCAGCCAGCCGAGGAGGTACAGGAAGGCCCTCGCTGTGGTTTCCAGTGCATGTTTTAAGAAGTAAAGAGACAACCAGCAATTAGCCTGACAGTGGGAGCCCTCAGCTACTCTGAGGGGAGGTGCCTGCATGCTTGTCTGCAGCTGCCTGCCACCCCACTGGGACAAACAGAGGGCGCAAGGCTCTCGAGGGACTGGTCAACCCCTGTGGTGTGCACCCTGACCCTGCATGGGGACATCACTCCCCAGGGTGCACAGGAGTCACATGAGGACCTAGCACGCTGGCCTCCGCCACATGTGGTTACTCTGGGGCCATGAGGCAGGGGTCCCTGCCACCGTCTCTCCATGGGGCCACTGTCCGAGCAGCTGACACCCCCTCCCAGTGCCCCAGACTGAGAACCTGTCTCCAGGCACAGAGGCAGCCAAATGTGGCATTTGGTGTGAGGCCACGGCTTCGGGTTGGAGTCAAGACCTGACTGGTGCTCTGCTTTTTTCCGAGAAACTGGGAGGCTCAGCCATATGCTGCCTGCCTCATGTCTCCATGGGTAAGGCACTTGGCTCACCCGGGGCCAGGCACCGTGCCAAGCAGACCCTGAGCAGCGCTGCAGATCCCCACAACCTGCAAGATTATCCAGAGGGACCAAATATTCTGCGGTGGGCACCAGGCCACTTCCCTGCTCTGAAAATCCTGCACCCCCAGCCTGTGGGAGCAGCAGG